GGCGGGAGCGCGTGGCGCGGCTGGAGGCGCTGTCGGAGGCGCTGCTCGCGCAGGCGGAGGGCGGGGGGCTGGGGACTGCCGACCAGACGGAAGTCGAGCGGGTGCTGCCGAAGCTCATGGCGGCGCTGGACGACGGCCACTTCAAGGTGTGCGCAGTGGCGGCGGCGGCGGCATGGGCGGCACGCGTGGCGGTGTGCGTATGGAAAGGATTGCAGCAGGGCGGGCGAGGCCCATGCTCCGGCGCCCCGCGGGCGGGCAGCCCGGCTCCCATGCGGCGCCAGCGCCCGCCAACTGCGAGCTGGGCCGGGCTGCGTCAGACCCTTCAAACGCAGCGGCACGCGCCGTCCAAATTCGCCATCCACAGGCTCCCTCGACAGCTCCCTGCTCCTGCCTTTTGCACCCGCCGATCCCCTCAAACGCGTGCGCACACACACACATATTCACACACACTCTTGAGACACAGACTTTTCAGACACACACACACACACACATGCCACGTGTTCACGCCCCCATCGCCCATAGATATCCCTGGCCGGCCTGGGCGCCGTCCAGGCGGCGCTGCGCGCCGCGCCGCGCGCGGTAGAGCCCGCGCTGGACAAGCTCATGCCGCTGCTGTTCCTGAAGCTGTGCGCGGCGAAGGAGAGCATGAGGGGCGCCGCGGAGGCCGCGTTGCAAGGTGCGGAGCCCGCGCGGGCGGCGTGCGCGGGGAGCTGGTGCCTTCTTTGGGGGGAGGCGGAGGGAGGGATATCTGTGGCGGCGGCTGTGGAGGTTGCGGAGGCAGTGCGGCCGGCGGGGCGGCGCCCACCTCTCGGGCTGGGTGCGCAGGGCGCGCGCCGCCCAGCCGCGGGGGACCGCCCAACCCTGTGTTGACCGGTTTTGACCCGCCCCCGACCCCAACCCCAACCGCAATCTTTGATCCCAGGCTGCGCGCTGCAGTTTGGTGCGGACGCGCTGCTGCCGGCCCTGAACCGCTCCCTGGATGCCATGAAGCAGCCGGCGGCCAAGGTGGGCGCCGGCGCGCAAGCGCAGCTTCCGGTGGGGCGCGTCGCCTGTCACGCCTGCAGACCTGCTGAGGCAGTGTCGACACCGGGCTGCACCGCAGGCGCTCGTCAGCTTCGGGGGCGGATTTGCGAGTTCGGCTCCTTGGCTTCCCCCGGCCGCCGGCTTGTTCGCAGGCCGGTCGCTACGGCATGAACTGCACACAAACATGTGCACCCACCCACCCATTCACTCATTGACCCGGCGCACCACTGCCAGGTGTCTGTCATGGAGTTTGCCGTGCTCTTCATAGGCGAGGGCAAAGTGGCCGGCGTGCCCCTGGCCAGCCTGCACCTGCGGTGCGCAACGCGGCAGGCGCGGTCGCCCTGCTCGCCCCCGCGCCCCCTGCCTCCCTCTGTGTCGACACCCCCAGCAGCAGTCCTCGCCCAAACCTACTGCGGCCGCGCCGCACCTGCCTCCTTGACCCGGCCGCCCGTTGGCTGCAGCTTGCGCATCCCAACTCAAATGGCAGCCAACGGCATCTGACCCGTGCTCGCCGACACCCCCGGCCCCCTGCTTAACTGCAACCAACCCCAACCCACGCCAGGCAATGGGTGGCACGTGGCCTGGCGCTGCTGCTAGACAAGAACGCGGGCGTCCGCCGCATGGCCGCCAAGGCGCTGGGCAGCCTGCACGACATAGACCCGCCTTTCATCGCGTCCTGCCTCGCGCACGCCAGCGCGGCCGAGGCGCTCGCGTTCGAGCGGGCGCTCGCGGCCGGCCTGGGGACGACCGGCGGGGCGGGCGGCGGCGGCGTTGGCGGGGCGGCGAGCCGCGGGCCGTCGCCTGGGGCGCTGGCGGAGGAGGGTTATGTGGCAGGCAGCAGCGGCGGCGGCGGGGGGGCCGAGTCAGTTTGCTCGGACGATCTGGCGGCGGCGGCTGGGTACAGCTATGACTGCGCCGCCGCGGCCTGCGGCGGGAGCAGCGGCCAGCCGGCGGCGGGGAGCCCCGGGCCGCACGCGGGCGGCGGCGGCGGAGTGCCGAGGGGATGTGAGGGGGGCGGCGATGCGTACGGGTTGAATGGCGGCTATCAGCAGCAGCAGCAGCCGGCGCGGCACGAGGCGGTCCTGCCTGCGGCCGGCAGCAGCTGGGGCGGCAGCGGCTACGGCGCCGGCGGCGCCGTGGCGCATGCGGGAGCGTCGCCTTCGGCCGCAGCGGTGGCAGCACCAGGCGGCTACGATGGTGGAGGCGGCGGTCTGCGCGGCGGCAGCAGCGGCGGCGGCGAGGCGCAGCGCGACGTGCTGGGCCGCCCCTTTGCGGAGCCCGCCACCCCGCAGCAGCCGTGCTTGGACGTGAGCGCATCGCACGTGTGCCGGGGCCCCCACCCGTTTTGCCCTGCTGCTGCTCTGCGTCCATCCGCATGGCAGCCTGTCGCCATGCATCATGCCATGCAGCAGCACAAGTTATTTCCCTCAACTCAGGCGCCCCAACTTTGCAGTCTTCCTGAAGATCCCCTTGTAAGCCTGAGCAAGGCTTGATTCACACGCGCTCTGTCCCCCTCTTCCACGCACGCACGTGCGCACACACATGCACACACACAGACACACACACACACACACACACACACACACACACACACACACACACACACACACACACACCGCAGCTGCCCGCCGACGCCGCTGGCCAGGCGCGGCACTTGACTGTGCTGGTGCACCGGCTGCAGAGCCGCGCGGGGGAGGACGTGCTGGCTGAGCTGGCGGCCTGCGCGGAGGGCGCAGGGCAGGAGGCTTGGGACGCCAATTTCAGCAAGGTGGGGGCAGGAAACATGTCGGTGTGAGTGTGTGTGTCCCTGAATGTTTGGACACGTGCGTGTGTTTGTGATTGATTGATTGTGTGCGGACATGTATGTGTGGGCGCGGTGCATGGGGACACACGTTGGTGTGTCTCTGTGCATGCGCGCACGCATGTCTGTGTGTGGGCGCGTGTGCATGTGTGTATGCGTCGCATATGTGTGGTTGAGGTGGAGGAGAATTTGGGATGGAAGCATGTGGAGTCCAGGGCTGGGGGCAGATGGCGCCGGCAAGGGCTCTGGGAGAGCCCGGGATGCGGCGACGCGAGCGCTGCGCTCGCGCGTGGCGCAGCGCACGAGGGCATTTGCGGCCGCCCCGTCTCTGTCCTCAAACGCGCCACGCCAAACGTCCCCGCCTCCCACCGCGCTCGCGCCGCGCCCGGCCCTCAGGTGCTGCTCGCCGCGCTGGCCGCAACCAAGCACGCGTCCGAGCGCGTGCGCGAGGCCGCGTTTGCGCTCGTGCGCCGGCTCGCACAGCACCAGCCGGGCCAGTTTGGGCCGGTGTTGGACGTCGTGGTGCAGCCGCTGCTGCTCGGCTGCGCGGACCCGTCAAGGGAGGTGCGGCGCGGGCGGCGAGGGGAGCCGGCGGGCCGGCAGGGCGGGCGCGGGGCCGCGGCAGCGGCGGTTGGGGGCCGGGGGCTGGGGGCTGTCGCGGGTGCTGGCCTGCGAGGGGGTGCGCTGGCTGCGCGTGGCACGGCCCCGCTCCAATACTTTGTTGCGAACATGCACCTTCAGATCTTGCATGTGCACTGGGACACACACACACACACACACACACACTTCTGGTGCCACACTCTTCGCCCCACAGGTCCTGATGGCGGCCCACCAGGCCCTAGAGGCCCTAGTGGATGCCATGCCGCCGCAGCGCTGCCTCGAGGCCCTGCGCTTCAAGCTGCCCACAGCGGAGGCAGTGCACAGGTGCGCCTGCAACGGACACCCTAGGCCCTGGAGCCGCGCACCCGGCCCGGCGCGCCTTTGGCGCCATCGCCTGGCGGACCGGCCGACCGACACTTCTGCTTAGCTTCTGCGCTCCTTCAGGCTCAGTGCAGACTCTCACATGAGCGGCAGCCGTCATCTCTTTCCGGCAAATGGGCACCGGCGGCTGTTGCAGGGCAAAAACCAAACACCCTGCCTTCAGTGTATCTCCAGACAATCATTCGTGACTCTCAGCACGTACAACTTTTCCAATCTCGCCCCCCTCGCCCCCTCCCCCCTCCACACACGCAAAAACACACGCAGCGGCACCGCCGTTGACGGGGACGTCCTTTGCGCCGCCATCCGCTGCCTGCAGCGCGCTGCCGCACGCGCGCCGCCGGACGAGCTGATGGCGCTCGCGCCGGGCGCGCTGCTGCCGGGGCTTTTTGCGGCGTTCCAGCACCCACGGCCGGACGTGCGCAAGGTGGTGGTGTTCTGCCTGGTGGAGATGTGGCTGCACATAGGGGAGAGGTGGGCAGGCGGATGCAAAGGGTGGCTTGAGCGCACGGGCCGTGGCCTGGGGGCTGCCGGCAGTGGCTCTTGTGTTGTCACGGTTCGTGCGTTGTCACGGTTCGCGGTCGTCGCAGGGGGCTGGGGCGCGAGGAATGGAGCGGCGTGCGTTGCGCCGGCGTTCGCCACTGTGTGGCGCCGCCCGCGCCGGCGTCGCCAAATGCGGCCGCCAGTGCAATTGTGTGTCTGTCCCTCGCCCAGCTGTGTGCTCTGACGCTCCCAAACACGCCTCTCGCCGGCTGCACCTCCAGGCCCTTCTACCCCATCCCGCGTACCTCTCCTCACACACACGCGCCCCCCCACAAACACCCCCCCCTCCCAGCCTGACGCCGTACCTGTCTTCCCTGAGCACCAGCCAGCTCAAGCTGCTCACAATCTACTACAGCCGCGCGCAGGAGGCGCGCGAGGCGCAGCAGCGGCGCGGCGACGGGCGGACAGGGTAACCGCGCAGCGGGCGCGGCGCGCGGCGAGGCGCGTGTGCGTTTGTGTGTCGGGTGCTCACGGCCCGGCTGGCGGCGGCCACTGTTGTGGGAGAGCACCCGTTCGTTGCAAAGACCACGCGCCAGCGGCGGTTCGAAGGGGCGTGCCGTGGGGGCTGCGGGGGCATGCGCGCGCGTGCAGGCCAGAAATTTGCGGCCCCGGACTCTCCAGGCAGGCTTGCGACCCGCAGGGGCGTCAACAGGGCCAGGCCTGGGCTCTGTGCTCCTGCTGTCGACCGGGTTGCTGCAGCGTGTAGGGGCGAGCATCCCAGCTTTGGGGCGCTGGAGGAGAGCCTGGCGGCCCGCGAGACAGCTTTTCTTTAGCTGCGCGCGACGCGGGCGGTGGCGCGTGCATCTGCTATGCGTCTGCTGCCGTCGCCGGCACGCCCGGCCGGGCGCCTCTGTGTGCGCGCACCTGCTTGTGAGCATGTGTTTTTTTCAGCATGTTTGGCTGTGGAATGCTCCAGCCACCTTAAGACTTTGTCGCACCCATATGTGACGCCCTCGTCGGCTTGTAACGGGATCACACTCAAAGCGGTGGCTGCGTTCCTGCCACCGCCGCACTCAAAGCAGTGCGTGGCAACGTTCTCCGGGCTGCCTGGTCATCAAAGCGCCCCCGTCGCAAAGGCAGCGCAGCGTTCAAGCCAGGAAAGTCAGTGCGGAAACATCCAAAAACATCCAATTAAGGGTTACAGCGATCTGTGCAATTCAGGAGCAAAGCCCAACGGTGGGCACCCAGGACCGCGCTCGGCGCGGCTGCCGGCGTCGCAAGCACAGCGAGCGGCGGGGGCGGGGGCGGGGCGAATGGCGCCACGCGGTTTCAAGGGAGGGGCGCGGCGGCGGCCCAGGCAAACCTCGCTCTCAAGCGACTCACAAAACCGCCCGACTCGATGCGGGCCTCTGGCCCAAGGAAACCAGCGGCCCCAACAGGCAAAGCGAGCGCGTACCAACCCCAGCCCTAACACCAGACAGCAGGAGTCATCCCAGGATTAGTCGTCGCCGCGCGGCGCTCGGCCGGCGAATGGGCTCGGCGGGCGCGCCGCGCGCGAGCGCCATCCGTCACTCAGCGGCCGGGCCGGGGTGCACGCGCGC